TTTTTATTGAATGCCATTTTGAAATGGCCTATTGAAATTTCATTGAATTGATATTGTTGGGCATTAGGCTTCATTTTAAGCTTTTTAATGTCAGGTCCAGAGCAACCTTCAGTCTAGGAATAATTTGCTGTCATTACCAAGGTAATACTTTATAGCGGTATAATTCACAATTGCAAAGATGTGGAATCAACCCAAGTGCCCATCAATTCATGAGTGATTAACAAAATGTGATATATGTATATCATGGAATACTACTCAGGATGACTTAATGCCTTTTGCAACAATTTGGATGGAACTGGAGACCATTATCCTTTATTTTTTTTTCCTTTCCTTTCCACTTCTGGAAGAAAAGGAGACCATTATCCTAAGTGAAGTATCTAAGGAAAAGAGAAACGAACACCACACGTTGTTCTCACTATTAAATTGGAACTAACAGATGAGCACACATGCACGGAGGGAAGTAAAACACAGTGGAAATCAAGCAGGGGGGAGTAAGAAGGATGGGATGGGCAAAAACCTACCTAAGGGGTACAATGAACACTATCCGGGTGATGGGCACACCCATAGTCCTGACTCAAGTATTACAAAAAGTGATCCATATAAACAAAAACATTTGTACCCCCATAATATTTTGAATTAAAAAAAAAAACTAGCATGTTTCTTCACTAGTTAGATAAAACTATTGTGAATCATCCACAAAGAAATATATACTGTAACTATGCATTGCTGACATACGGAACACTGACAGTTACATACGATCCCTAACATTCATTAGTCAACTTTTATTAGTCTGGAAATGGGCTGGTTTGAAAGTTAGCTTCAAAATAAACCAAATTTAAAGAATAAAAGGAAGTTTGAAACTAATAGTTATCATTATGCTCATCTATTATTATTTTACATGACATAATTTTGATTATCATCATATCATTTATCTCTAAAAAGTAAAAATCATAGTAATAATTCCAGTTAGTGAAGTGTCACCTACCTCTTTCACATTTGCATCATCAAAAAATACCCATTTGGAACTCTTGGTATGAAAGGCAAAAGCACAATAATGCCGGCTGGTATAGCAGATCACACCAACAAGGTGAAGTTCACTACTCCTGGCATTTTCATCAGTAACTCTATAAAAAAGCTGTTTAAAAAATCAGTAATATACATTTAATTCTATATCTTTTAAAAAATAAGGAACAATAATTTGATGAATCATTATAAAAAGATCTCTCACGCATACTGTCCCAATCCAATAATATATTACTCAAGGCACCACTAACATTGTCCTTTTAACAGAATTACTATTTTTAATTCATCTATAGGAACTTTAAGTCTAATAAAATGAATTCACTACAAATTAGTTTAGTAATATAGCATCTAAATATATGACTGACACTTTACATATAGATAAACTCAAAATGTCAGATAAATTGCACATTCCTGGTAATTCTTGATTGAATCACATATTTAAATATATTTAAATACACATTAAACACATTATTTAAAAGATAATCATCAAAAATTTTAATTGTAACATAAACAAATTCAAAATATATTAAGAAAGTAATAAGCATACTAAGAGATCCGTGCTGTAGACGAATTTTAAATCTTAAACTTTTCTAGATCAAAAATATTAATATTGATAATCAGGATCATACATATAAAAAATAATCTATCATCATCATCATTGTGGAGTAAAAGAGGGAAACGGCATGAGACAGTTTAGTTTCTAATTGAAAGACATTCCTAGTCTAAGCAAGAAAAGCATTCCAGTTGGCTGATTTGATCCCTTTATCTTTATTAGAGTACATCTGAATATTATTTCCCTTAGGAAGAAATTTGGTTCTGAAAAACAAAAATAAGAGTATCAAAATATATGAAGATGTTTTAGAGTAATTTAAAAATAAAAGAGGAAAGAAGAAAAAGGGTAAGATACCCCAGGAAGATAAAGACGTGTTGCTAAATTCCGAACAACATCTTCTGTCAAGTCGGAATGTTCAGAGTCCCAGACTAAACCAATTGTAACAATCTCTGGGCAATTCATCAAAACGCGGCGAATTTTTATTTTTTGGCCACAGTTACTCTACAAAAAAACACAAAAGGCAAGTTTTACAATTATCAAAAACATAGCACAGGCAAAGCCTTATACAGTTTGTATTATACAATGACAATCTTAACATATATCTTCTTCAGCATACTAGAAATTGACTTCTAACAAGTTATTTGTTTTAATTATTGATTAAATAATAAGTTCATTTTAAATCAAAAAAATATTCTTTGATATTTTTGTAAATCTGTTAAAACAAGAATTCAGCCTAAAAAAAGCAGAAATAAAACTCTGGAAGTCATTAACAATATTAGATGAGAAAATAAAATTTATCATGTTCATTTAAAAAAAGAAACTTTCTCTCTAGTCAAATGACAAATTCCAGAACTTTGAAAAGATTCAATATATGCTACCTCAAATCCTTCACAAAATTAAGAGTTTTTAAAGAAATAATGCTAAGATAAATAGCTCACATAGTATAAAGTTATCTAAATTAGTATTTTTTAAAATTCTGTATGAGAGTATTTGCACGATAATTTCTGAATGTCTACTTTCAAACTTACAAACATAGAAGCACTCTAATATTCTCCAAATTACACTTACAGGACATTTCCTATAGTCATCTGTTGTATTTGCTGCTTGTAGCAATTCTGCAAACATTTCAGGTTTAAAGCGTTCGTGCCGTTCCACCATTCTTTCAACTTCATTGCTATAAAAAAAGAAGCAGTCCTAAATCTGGCCTATGAACTTAAAACTTTAATAAATTACACAAGAAAAATAATAAGTTGTCAATACAGATGTGCATCACTTTTTCTGCCTAAAACATGACTGTGTCTGAAAAATCAGCCACTAAGTATATTTCCATGCAGTAAAAACATTACTAAATTTGGCAGGTGTATGATGAAAAAAATTAGGCCAAGTATAGAATAAAATAACACAAAGCTATATTTTTGTTTGCAACTACATGAAGGTAAAATGCTCTGTCTGAAGGTAGTTCTAAGACAAATGTTTCTTTATCCTGTAACTTAATAAAGCAACTTGAGTTTAAACTCTGCCCTAACAAGAACAAAACTGTAGGAAAGGCTCCCTCTCTGGCCCAAAGTTCCCAGAAGCAAAGTTAACAATTTCAGCTAGAAGGCCCTTTGCTGATTATATGAAGAAGTCACAATCAAAGTTATCTAACCCAGAATTGTGCCTTTTGTTCCTATTATGAACATTAATCATTTTGTTCATTAACAGGCAAGCCTTTTAATACACCACAGGGTATCTGTGCCATTTTTTATTCAACTTCTCTAAGAGCCATATTACTACATATCAAGGTATTAAGTACCTTTAAACAACTAAGCAAACATTTCCAAAAAGGAATGTAATGTAAGCTGAAATGCCCTTACTAGTTTCCATTCTAGGTGTTCTGGTTCTACTTAATAGTAATGTAACTATCACAAAGCTAGATGTATTTTACAGTTCAATAGTTTAAATAACCAACAAGTGTTCAATAACAACTAAAAGTACTCTTCCAAACACTTCTAAGTATACTAGAAAGCACTAAATCTGATAAGCTCATTAAAATTGCACATACTGGTTTTACAAAACTGACCGCATTAGAGTAATAGTTAACCAGACAAATTTTGAAGTCAGACAGACTTGGGTTTCAATCTTAATTCATCACTTACCAGATTAACCTCATTAAACCTATTTCTTCGACAACAAAATAGTGTTTTTGTTAAGATTAAAAGTGATAATTACATAAAGGCTGGAACATAGTGAGAATCCAATAACTGGTATTTAATACTTAATACAATAAAAAGAAAGATATTATAATTAGAACGCAAAGTCTGTACTCCTGCAACTTTCAGTGTGGACCAGGCAGAAATTGATGGGGATCTAATTCTTAGTGTCTAAGATACTGCCTCAGAACACTGTTATTTTATACAAGAGTTTCAAAGTAAAGTTAAAATTTTACAATCTTTAACTTATACTCTATCCTTGTTCAAACAATATCCTCCTTTTCATACAAATTGAAAAAAATGACTGACAATTAACTACAATTCACTGAAGTCTAGAAATGTTCAGTTTTCCAACTGTTGTATATGTAAGAAAGATAGTAAACACATCCAAATAACCACACGGTTATTATTCAATAATCTTTAAGAAATAATGTGTTATGCCCAAGAAAGCAAGGAAGTTAAATAATATAAAATGGATGAACACATGATATTCACTTTGCACACTGATAAAAATATTGATAGCATTTATCAACTAACTATTGCACTGATACATTCTAATTTACAATTATTCATCTAAGTTATATCTTTTGTATTAAAATTTCTGCAAACATTTATGATCTTAGTCAGTGTTTACCACATATCAAATATATTTATAATCTCAAATACCTGTTGGAAAGTGTTCAAGCAATCTTTACTTATATTATGTAAGGTCTAGGGATTGTTTTTGGATCCTTAACTAGCTAATGCTTCCTGGACAGACAGGGGGAGGGAGAGAGGAAGGGGGCAGTCCTACAGGCAAGCATGGCAAATTTTTATTTAAGGTCAATGTTGAGCCCTCAAATGTCATAACTTGAGAATTATGTTCACATTTTTCTTTCTTTTCTGCTTACTCTAGCTTTTATCACCATGAAGGGACATAGTGGAGCTGACAGGACACATGGCCTTTACAAAGGGAACATCTTAACAAAAATGAAGAAACCACGTGCAGTTCCATTTACCACTGAGTTTGTCATTTTAAGCTCCCCTTCACAGTTCCAAAAACTTGCTATAAATATAAATAGATATAAATTTTGACTAGTATTTTGTACATTTCACTAAGTTATACATATATTAGGCCAAATTACAAACATCCAACTGAGAGAAATATCATTTAGTACCTCTGATGGTAGCATATTTGTTAGCCTCAGAGAGGGGAAATTCATGTATGTTATGGTTTTATACAGTAAGTGCTCAATGTACTTGAATGTGTTATTAACATCTTCGGTAAATATGCTTTAATAGGTTCTTACCACAGGGCTGTTGTAGAAATGTACCGCACAAATTCTGTAAAAGGCAGGGGATCTGATGATGCTCCGCAGCTACGACACACACACTATAGGTAAAAACATATGTTTAATCTATCAATCATAATACATAAATACGGTATCTAATAAAATAACTAAGCCATCTCACCTGTTCATAAAGAGTCATAGCAAACTTCTGGTGAGTGATACAAGACTTAGAGGTACACATGTCTGCATCTCTGCTTGGCACTATGTGAAAATGAATCCTCTCCAATATATTTTCCTAATTTAAAAATAAAGACGAATGAGCTACTGATCTTGCAGGGAAAACTTCAAATACTACCCTTTTTAATTGAAGATTTTCCAAAGTATAAATTTAGGAATGCCATACATATTGTTGCTTTTCAGTTTTCGTCTCTAATCAACACTTCAAGTGTTCGATTATTCACCTTTTGTAGCGTTAGCTTAAAAAAACATTTAATGAAAGAAACATCGTAATGTAATATATGATTTTAACAAAGATTTTTTAAATCCTTTTAAAAACCAACCCATGGTGGCTGATATCTAGAATTTAATATCAGAAAACACATTAATATTTTCCTGTATTCCCAGCATTCTCATATTAAGAAAAATCAGATAATTTTTGAAAAATCCTACTTGGATCATCCAGATAGTCCATATAACTTACAGCGGAGTAAAGGCTCTGTATCTACACTAACACCATAATGCAGGCAATGTGCTCTGCAACAAATTTCATATGAATGTTTAGATTTATAACACAGATCAATAAGGGGTATTTCTTTAACATAATAATCCTTCTTTTTATCAAAACTTAACCAATGGATTCTTTTCATTAGCTAACTTCCCCCTCCTCTGCCCTAAAACCATTCAATAATTTAAGCCTGAATTTCTAAATATTGCATAAATTATCACATCATGTATTAATACATTTAAGTGAAAGTAAAATTATAAAGCTCAGTATTGTATAAAATGTATTTATCTTTTAAACAATGGATCAATCATAAACAGAACAATCATGAAAAGTGTATTTTATTACTGTGTGTGCCATTATTGACACATTTTAATCAACATGTAAGTGTGCCAGGCAATGTGCTAGTCGATGATCTTTCCATCTTTCTAAAAAAAACATAAAGATGCTCATTTAAAAAAAAAGGTAAATAATAACACATAAATGCCAA